ATTATAATATAAATAAATATATATATATATATATATATATATATATATATAGGCCTATATACATTTTATTTTGTGCTGATCTATTTAAACAACACAAAATTGTAGGAAAAACATTTTATTGCTACTTTAGTTTGATAATCAAGTTAAAAAGTTTTTACACTTAAATTTTATAATGCAGAATCAATGAAAATGTTGTTAAGGACTCAATATCATGGTTTGTGGAAATATGATTATTGTCAGTATAGCTTAAAATTGTAGCATAGTTTCTAGCTGTTATCTTCCCAGGGAGTAGCCAGGTGTTGCTCTGTCGTAACAATGGGCATAGTAGCTGATTTATCATTTTCATCTTGCGGAACTGATCTACCAGACAAGGCAACATCATCCTCATCTAAACGGTCGTCCATTAATTATGTCAAAAAAATAGGGGGTGAGTGTAAATGTTTGACAATTGTTGACAAGGGGGAGGGGGGTTGGATTAGTCACCAATCATGTTTTCTCTATTAAAATTTTAATCTTAAAAATTGACTGACTTTTACATTATTTTAACAAATTTAATGAGTGTTAATTAAAATAGTTATATAATTTTTTTAGGTTTTTTAATTAACAATATAAGATTTATTTAATTTGTGTCTGTCTGTGCACTGCTGATGGCTAGTCATAATGTTAGCACGTTTTTAGTTAATGCAAGAGAAGTCAAAAGTGCGCCTCTATTCAACTGTAGATTCTATTTGTCGCACATGACTAGGCGGTATGTTTGCGGCCATGTTGCAGGTATGGAGCAAGGACAAGGTTCAAGCGTCATGTGCGATCAAGATAAATTGTATTGATAGAGTAGGAATACGATATTTTGAGAATTAGTGGAAAGTAAAGTGAGTAACAATAATAACATCGTTGCTTGAACAGATTTGCAAAATCAGTAACATCTATTTTGCATCACAAGTCATGTTGAAATAGCCAGTTCAACAGCACCGACAATGCATAAGAAATTACCACCTGCTCCTCAACAAAAAAAGGATTGCACCAATGAAAGTAGCTGCCAGGAGACAGTGAGAGAGCTTATGGCAATTGTTGTTATTATTATTGTAACAATAGAAATAGAAGTAATATGCAAACAAAATTTCCCAGAAAAAAACATTTACTTCTGCCAATCAAAATGCATACATATAAGTATATATTTTTTTAAAGGCAGCAATAACTAGCAATGGCAGCAAATACAATTTTCTGGAGCTTCCACACCACAGTGAGTGTTGTCACGCCTAGTTAAGATCAACTGAATAGGAAAATGTTTCTGACACAGGGGAAGTAATTTGATATTCTTGGGAGGTGAATTTTTAAGGGTTTGTAAAGGACAGTGGTGGACAGAGAGATTTTTTTTATATATACGGGGTGGTGCAGAGGTTTGTGATGTTATATATGAAGGTGGTCTAACTTTTAGTTACAATGTGGGTAGGGGATGTCAAATGTCAGCACAATTTGCCTGATGTCAATTATTTTTTAAGGGTTTGTAAAGGAAAGTAGTGGGCATATGGATTTTTTTATAGGGTTGGGGTGCAGAGGTTTGTAACGGTGGTCTAACTTTTTGTGTCTATAGGGGTAGGGGGTGTCAAATATCGGCATAATTTGCCTGATGTCATTTATGGGTGGCGACTTCAGCCGGCTCATATGAAGCCCCAGACACACAGATCGTAAGAAACAATTGAAGGCTTTGCGAGAGTATTGGAAGATAGTCTAGGAAGTCCCATTCAGCTGTGAATTTCAAAAAATCAAATACTGACCATTCTATGACTTTGTGCAATTCAATATAAGCTGCCTTTGGGTGTCTTCTAACTTTTGGTATTTCTTTTAAAAGCTCACTTTCTGAAAGAAAAAGTTTTTTTTTCTTTTTTTTTTAAAATTTTTTTTTTGGAACGGACAGCAATAATAATTACTATTCTACATTTGATGATAGTAGACTCTTGGATTGAACATCCCCAAACATATCTGCTACTTCCTTGATCACTACTGCTCTGATCTGGGGTTCAGAATAAAAGTGATCAATAAACTCTATCATCTCCCTACTGTTTTATTCTCGCGGAGAGAGCACAACATCTATTAATTGTTCTCCTGCCACTCTCATCTTAAACCTCAATCTTCTCTCAGCCGAAATTCCATATTGGTCTGATTTTTAAAGTGCCTTTTCAATAGCCTGTTCCACTAAGTGACAGCGATTCTCGTGCAGATACAATCTTCAAGGCATCTAGGTTGGTTACCATTTTGTCAAGAGTAAAGCCTTTACTCTGAAGATACTATTGCGTAAAATTAACTTCCTCAAGTAGAAAAACATGAAATCACAGACAGCATGTAAAAGACCTTTTACTGTTAGACAATCATGCTCAAATGTTAAGGGGCTGTGCTAGTGACGAATCGGCGCAAATCTTGATATTTGAGTATTTCTAGGGTTCAAATATTTCAATATATTTGGTTTCAAAACCATTTTAAAAAAATATCTATATTTAAATTAATTTTTTTTTTTGGTGTTGAGCATATTTCTCACTTAGTATTTGGAGGTTTAGGATCTGCTTAGTAGTGCAACGTCCTTGCCTGAAGCCCGCCTGTTAGTAGTGCCCCGTCCTTGCCTGAAGGCCGCCTGTTAGTAGTGCCACGTCCTTGCCTGAAGGCCGCCTGTTAGTAGTGCCACGTCCTTGCCTGAAGGCCGCCTGTTAGTAGTGCCCCGTCCTTGCCTGAAGGCCGCCTGTTAGTAGTGCCCCGTCCTTGCCTGAAGCCCGCCTGTTAGTAGTGCCCCGTCCTTGCCTGAAGGCCGCCTGTTAGTAGTGCCCCGTCCTTGCCTGAAGGCCGCCTGTTAGTAGTGCCCCGTCCTTGCCTGAAGGCCGCCTGTTAGTAGTGCCACGTCCTTGCCTGAAGCCCGCCTGTTAGTAGTGCCACGTCCTTGCCTGAAGCCCGCCTGTTAGTAGTGCAACGTCCTTGCCTGAAGCCCGCCTGTTAGTAGTGCCACGTCCTTGCCTGAAGCCCGCCTGTTAGTAGTGCAACGTCCTTGCCTGAAGCCCGCCTGTTAGTAGTGCCACGTCCTTGCCTGAAGGCCGCCTGTTAGTAGTGCCACGTCCTTGCCTGAAGCCCGCCTGTTAGTAGTGCCACGTCCTTGCCTGAAGCCCGCCTGTTAGTAGTGCAACGTCCTTGCCTGAAGCCCGCCTGTTAGTAGTGCCACGTCCTTGCCTGAAGGCCGCCTGTTAGTAGTGCCACGTCCTTGCCTGAAGCCCGCCTGTTAGTAGTGCCACGTCCTTGCCTGAAGCCCGCCTGTTAGTAGTGCAACGTCCTTGCCTGAAGCCCGCCTGTTAGTAGTGCCACGTCCTTGCCTGAAGGCCGCCTGTTAGTAGTGCCACGTCCTTGCCTGAAGCCCGCCTGTTAGTAGTGCCACGTCCTTGCCTGAAGCCCGCCTGTTAGTAGTGCAACGTCCTTGCCTGAAGCCCGCCTGTTAGTAGTGCCACGTCCTTGCCTGAAGGCCGCCTGTTAGTAGTGCCACGTCCTTGCCTGAAGCCCGCCTGTTAGTAGTGCCACGTCCTTGCCTGAAGCCCGCCTGTTAGTAGTGCAACGTCCTTGCCTGAAGCCCGCCTGTTAGTAGTGCCACGTCCTTGCCTGAAGGCCGCCTGTTAGTAGTGCCACGTCCTTGCCTGAAGCCCGCCTGTTAGTAGTGCCACGTCCTTGCCTGAAGCCCGCCTGTTAGTAGTGCAACGTCCTTGCCTGAAGCCCGCCTGTTAGTAGTGCCACGTCCTTGCCTGAAGGCCGCCTGTTAGTAGTTCAACGTCCTTGCCTGAAGGCCGCCTGTTCTTCGGCAATGATTTTATCGGCCTATGGTTTTATTTGGTTCAATATGACCTTTAGCATGACCTTGCTTGGGTGACTTATTAGGCTAATGGTGGGATAGTTTTGCCATAGCTGTAGGTTATCTTTCTTGGGGAGGGTGGTGATGAGCGATTGGGTCCATGAT